TACATTTGCGGGATACAAAGTAGAAGCCGGGCATGTGCCCCGGCTTTGTGCATGGCATTATTTTGGCAGTAAATTTTGATTTTCTGGGCAAAAGTCCGGGCCCAGAATTCAAATTTACTGCCAAAAAAAATCTGGGCACAAAGCCGGGCACATGCCCGGCTTCTACTTTGTATCCCGTAATTGTTTCACAAATTGTCACAATTATACCCCTCCTTTTTTTGTCATCTCTACAGAAGGCTGAGAGCTTCATGAACCATGTACCTAGATACCATGATGTATTGACATACTATGAAACTGCCTACTTTAATTTTTCAAGAAGCTGATTATGCTATTGGACTCTGCAGGATGAACATTGCAAAGACGTGGACTTAGACCTGGCCAAGTGAGACTGAGGTCAGAGTTGTGGTCAATTGACCAAAATCAGAGATTTGATAAATTTACTTAGTGAATTTGTGTTTTTTGAAGGTTCTCCAGTTGAGAATGTATATATCTCCTTACCTTTGAAGAGTTCATTATGGTATCTAGACTGTCAATTTGAAGGTTCAAATCAAAAGCACCAATGATCAATCCATATGATGAAAAGGATCATATTGCAGGTTGATTTAAAGAAGTTGTTACTAAATAATTTGGAAGAGCTTGAACAGCTATAGGATTTAAAGATTGAGTTACATGACGAGTGAGATCAAGATACGCCAAGAATTGATTTGAATCAATTTTAGATAAATAAATGAGATTCAAAATTAAGATGAGTGATTGGATTGATCAAAGTTGAATAAGATAAATCTAAATGAGCCAAAGCAGTTTGAGATGCTATAACAGTGAGGTCAGTTGATAATCAACATTGGATGAGATTGCAGCTGAGATTCTGATCTCTGAAGCTAAGGTTGGTACACCTGCTCATCCTAATGCAATAGTATCGAGATAGATTTGATTCTAATGTGAAAACGGATGAAGTAAATGAAGTTGAGAGTGAGAATGGAGTGAATTTGAAATCGATGTCGAGGGTTGATGATGATGAAATGGCAGGTAATCAAGGTTTAGGACCATAACTAAAATCACAATTTCAACCAAGATTAGTTAAAGATTAGTTGATCAATGAATTGAAAAGGGCTTACACTGCACGAGATGTTACAATCAGTTGTTGCTAAATAACCACTTCCATTAGATGAACTCGTAGCTTTTGACAGCTAAAGGAGCAGATTCAAATCAGATTTGAATGTTAATGATGTCAAAGTTGATTTAAGACTAAAAAATTGGTTGCTGATTTGTTCTATCATCAGATCTAAGGTTTGCTTGATTTTCTGAATGAGGTTCTGGAGTCAATATCTGGTCCAATCAATTTACGGTGATCGAGTATAGGTCAATTTTGATGATGAAGTGTGAATCTGGAATCATTAATCATGGTGCTCGTGACTTGAAAGCGATTTTTTCTTTGATCCTTATTCAACCTGTGAAACATTGGTGAAGTAAGCATCAAGTGAGAATTGAGCAAATGGGATGTAGCGAAGTAAACACATCTATTTCCAACATAACAACTGCAGGCTAAAAGGATAGTGACAATATGATCTGAGACACAATTTGTTCAAGTAAGTAAGTCAAACTCAGACCCAAGACACATGAAAGAAACTTATGACTAACCATCTGATAATGATCTTTTCTAGATTTCTCCAAATCCAAAACGATTGCTTGTTAAATCCTAAAAGCAGCTTGATCTGAATAATAGAAGTTTGTAAGCGTGATCATACCATTAATGTTGTTGAATGTTTAACAAATACTCGTCTTGAAATACGTGATTGTAACATTTGGGTCATGAAAGGATTGATTTGATGAGAAGGTAAACGATTTGAAGATTCTGCAATCCCAATAGCAAGCTAAATAACACGACCGAACAGCTCATCAATCACGACGGATAGAACTCAGAAATGAAAAAAAGAATGAGCATACCTGAGGGATCCCAATCCAATGTTGATTAAGTAAATCTTCAAGAAACTCGCACCAACGTTGATTATCTTGTTGATCTGTGATAGGAAGATACAATCTAATCTTATCAAACGCATCTGTAAGATGAGGATTAGATGCCATGATATCTAGAAGTGATTGAAAGTCTCGTATCCGTCTAGCAATTCGTGTTGGTAATTGAATCCGAATCTACAAAATCATTGAAATCCGAAAGTGATCGAAATATATAGAATCGAAACATGAATATATAACTTATAGTCAGTCAAGATGATCGGTTAAAAAAGATTAAGAGAAATAACAAACCAACAAAATTGGCACCTCTCACTAATCTCTTTTGATGTTCTAAACCACTTTCAATTTCATTAGATTCTGACATCTTACCAAAAAAAAATATGTCTTAAACTAAATGGAATTGATTAGCATAACAAAAGATATGGTTATGTGTATAAAATCTTCCATTTGCTTTATTGATTGTACTTGATTTTCTTAAGTTTTCAATGCTTGATCTGGGTGAAAATTTCATGAGAGTGTCAAGTGATCCACCTAAAAACAAAGAAAGAAAGATTAAATAAACTTCGATTTTGAACAAAAGATGATAAGATGCAAGGAAGTTTCTTATTCACCAAAGAATTGAGCGAAGATAGAAGACAAAGGTAATCCGATCCTCAACCTAGCATCTTGAACTTGTTTCTCTTCATCCTCAAGAGCCCCTTCATCCCCTTCTTTCTTATGCTTAATTTGTTCTCCAACCTTACCAGCTATGTAATCCTCCAGTTTTAATTAATCCTGTTAATCTATCTTGGTTTTTATCACCTTCAACTAAATGTGAAAATGAAAATAATTATCTTTGATTAATAGATGGAGGAAAATCATCTGTTTCATCTGGAATTATATTAGAAAGTTATATGAATGAAGGTTCGATTCCTCCTGCTTGATCTGGAATTCTTATACTGATATCGGTAGGGGATGAGACAATATGAATTTGAATTGGAACGTTTGATGGGGTGATTGGTTTTTTTTGGGCTTGCTTTTGGGTTGCTCGGAATGGAATTAATAGCAGTTCAAACATAATATAGCTAGAAAATGATGATATCAGAAACATCTCAGTTAAACGAGCTTAATTGTTTATAATTTGAAATACGGAGCTGGATTGATAGAGGATGGAAAGATGGATTAGACCAATTTATGATTCTGAATGGATTTTGGATGATGTTTAGCTGGGATTTTCATTGAATCCATTGATAAGGAGACTCGTGTGAGGAACGTATGTAAGATTGACATTGGATGCTTCAGGAAAGTCGGCTAGTTGTGGATTGAATCACAAAGTTGGATTGATTAGGGTCAAAAGAGGATATGTAGCTGCCAGATCATTTGTAAATTGGATACAGGGAACCGCAAATGGATCTCAAAGTGGCTTCTGACAAAGTGCAAAACTCGAAAATTGCACTAATGGTGTATCTTTCCAGTTTTGTTCAAGTTGATGGTTCTCCTTTGATATGAAAATCATATGGATAAACAAATTCATGGTTGACCTTTAACTTGTAATGATACTCAGATTGAAGCTCTAAACACAGATTATTTTCAATAGGGAAAAGAATCTGAGTGGTACACAACCGTGACTTTAAATATGAGCACACTACAGAAAGGAAAAAGAAAAATGAAATAGATTACTCAAGTCACATACAACTTATTCCCAAAAGAAAACAAATATAAGCCTTTTTGAACCATTTCAAATCATTAACACATCTATTCGTAATTCAACTGGCCACTCCTCAACGCAAATTGTAATAAAATTCTCATAATGTAATAGTTAATTTATAAAGTTGTTTACCGTATTAGGTATGTTGTTCTTGAACCTGAAGCAGACTACTGACACCGGAAGTCCTTGACCTACAGTATCACAACACCATCGTACATGGTGTAAGCCTAAGTCTGAAAGATGGATGTCCTTTTAGGAATTCACAGCTAAATTATTTGCTTACAATGTTGAGTTTTGAGGCTTTGTTACTACGTAAAAGTTGGTCTAAGTTTTGTAGAGAGAAATCCAAGCGAACATTCTATTGTTAGCGTATTGTCAGTATATTTTTATCTAAACTGTTGGTTGCTCAAAAGATGTACTCACTTTTATATGTCCTGGTATACAAAGTGGTCTTCTTCGGATGGGTACTAAGGTACTCCTATCTCAGGATGGTCTAATTCTGCTTGTTTGATAGGATAGTTAATTCTGATCAAAGAAGGTCTGAGAAAATATTTGACAAGAGGAGGGAAAAAGGGTGCTTGATTCTCAATTCAATAATATTGTATTCAAAGAAGTAGTGTTTTACAAAATCAATATTGATTGTGCAAAAAATTCACACTGAGCTAATGGACTAGATATTACTTTGGTAAGTAGGTAAGGTCTAGTCAAGAAGTGATTTGGCTGGGGTTTTTGGTTTCTTCAATATAGATTACATGTTTGTTGTTTCTCAAACCAGTCAGGGTTTGTACCCTGGCTGGTTGTATCCTTTTTAATTTTCTCTTTTCTATCACAATAATAAGTGATATTTTTTCACTCTTGAACCTTGAGTGTGAGATGTGGTTTCTGGAAATCTATACATACAGGTTTCTAGATACTTGGTTTGTATTTTTGTTTAACCGGGTAAGTGTGATTACCCTCTGGGTTGACACATGGTGAGTTGAATAATCCAATGATACTGATTCTTTGTCTTGTGAAAACATGGCCTTGAGCTCTGAGTCCATTGGGCCATTATTGCCTCCACCATCTGTGGTTTGGGCTAGCATGTAAGTAGAGTAGGAATATGAATATCAATAAGATTAGTATGATAGAGAAAATCAAAAATCAAAAATAAACAAAATAAGATACTTATCTTCTCATGAAGATGGTTCCTAATCAAAAACCAACCAATTGGTCTTGCTAAGAGAACCCAAAAATGCTGCCAACCTACCATTTTCAGTGTGAGATGGGTATACTTGTACTGCCAGTTACTATTGTTGTGGTTGGCTGTTGCGCTGACAAAGGCATACCAATTACCTTTTGTTGTCCAGACATCATGGACACAACAAAAGTGGCCTTTGCTTTCCTGAATCAAAAGTTTGAAATTAAGTCAATTTATAGACTAAGGAATGAAGGCAGAAAAAGAAAAACATACTTGCAAAGTGGTTATGGCCTTGTTGTACAAGGCTGAAAACAACTAAACAGATTGTTTTGAAGCCCAGCATGTTGATCAAACTTTAGCTCCTCAATTGGCAGTCTAGACTGCTGCACAAAGGGTGACATCCTCAAATCTCTCCCAAGGTAATGCATGCCGGAAAATCCAGACAACCAGGATCATATTCAGTAAGTCAACCGTGAATGTCAGACCTTTGACAAATGAATCAAATGTTCCATTGGAGTTTTTATTATCCTTGTCAAGCTTTTCTCAAGCCCTCTTGGTACAGACAGGGCAAAATTTGTTTCTAATACAACGTAGTTTGCTTGAGGTAAGCATTATTACACCACCTACACTTGTACAAGCGGCCCTATAAGAAAATCAATAAGTAATGTTAAGTCAGCTATTACAGAAGAGAGAGACAAGAAATGAAACAAAGTTGAACCTACTTTAAGAGGGTAATAGAACTTAAGGAGCTTCTTTACACTAAGGGATCAATCTTCTTTTTATCAAACCTCTTTAGATCCTATAATCTTGATGTTGGAATCCTGATCCAAATCTATGTTGTTAGGGACCTCCAAGGGCTAAGTGAAGCATTTTGAAATGCTGATTATGAAATATGATTATTTAGACACGGATATAGCTTACATCCACATTGGCTTTCTTGGATGGTTGAGGTGAGTGTGATACTGTGCTACGTGAGGAGCTTGGCAATCAAGATCAGACATGCTGGCTAGTTGAAGAGATAGACTAGCAAAAGCATAACACAATAAGTAAAGAAAACAAATAAAAATAATTGAAAACTTGAGATTTACCTTCCCTTGACAAATTGGTTTTCCTTTGGTACCCTTCTTGGTTTGGTTGTTAGAAGGACCTGGGGGTCAAGGAGAAGCAGCACAATTAGAAAGAAGACCTGAGGATCCGTCCCCAGATCCACAATTTGAAATGATAGTGATAGATGAACATGAGTCTGTTGGACGGACAACAAAGCCTGGCTGGGCCCGAGCAGGACTTGGAGGTCAAAGGGTTCTCCTGGTCTGTGCCTTGCTTGGAATTTGAAGACTACTTTGAGTTGAGCTTTGCAACAAGCTTTTTGATAGAGGCATTTTAAGTAAGTCAGTGTAAAATTTGATCTTTAGGATTGTGATTGAGAGGTGGATCAAAAGACATAGCTGATGTAATGTATAGGGAAAAATTGGACTGCTTCAAACCACAAGTTGGCTGTGGTTGAAATTGAATCTGAGTGGAGAGGAGACCAATTGGGTACCATAGTTAGAAGGAAGATGAATTGACTGTTGTCCATGTTTCATCTGGTGTTTTGGTGTAAGTTGATGAAGTCAAGGTTGGACTAGAGTGGACTGGGGTAGGTGTACCCTCATACCTGTATAGCTTTCTCTGCTATATATTAGAGTAAGACCTCCTGGGTTGGGTTGTGCAGCGATTGATACTCTATGTAAAAATCCGGCCCTGGGGTGTGGTGTGTGGGCTCTGCTGTGTATTTTGGAGCCCATGGCGCACGGAAAAATTGCTCCGCAACCACTATATAATGCAAAGCGCTTTGGGTGTTGGCTGATGTGTGTACCCCTAGAAGAGGTAGTACACTACCCACACTTCAAATATAATGTGTTTCTCCGCAGTCAAAAATGATTACATTCAATTCAAAAAATGATTGAAAGGGCATTAGATCTACATTAGATCTGCATTTTTCTGCATTAAATCTGCATCAGTAATCATTTTGTGCATCAAGTTCAATCATTTTTCACCTTGGAGAAACACATTATATTTGCAGTGCCAAGAGTATGGAGTGCCTTGTTGGCTCCCAATTCAGGTTGAAGAAGGGTATTGTCCATGATGCATCATCTGAAGGGGATGCCAAAGCCCTTCAAGCCTACGTGGAAGATGTCAATCTGTCAGAGCGGGATTAGATTTAGTTCAGAATCAGAACCTAAATCTATCACAATCCTCACAAGTTTGAAACTCACCTTCATCCAGAAATAGTGAAGAACACGATGAAGAGAGAAGATTCAGAACTTGGCTCTTCCAGGTATTTGAATGTGATACAATGTGATGAGTTAGGTTTGAATTGAGTACAAATCAATAACATGTGAAACTACATAATCATATCAGTAGATGAGAAATGAAATATAAAAACAAAACTGTACATATCATGTTTGTGAAATGTTCATGTTCAATATGGAACTAATGTATTTACTTCAACAGAAGCAATGGCAAAGAAGCCCTAATAGGCTCATCATGTTACATCAATCAACATTTTCATTTTGGAATTGTTCCTCTTCCTTCTTTCTATACTTGTTTTCTTTCTCACTCAGATCTCAATTCTTGTTTTCCTTTTATACTCATTTTGTCCTTTTCTCATGTGTTTTCTTTCATGAAAACACTGTATCTGATATCCTACGTGTCCTAGCGCTATAGGCTTGTGCATGCACACATAAATTTGGAATACAATCTTTTTTTCTTTTCGTTTACTTCGTCAAGTTCAACCTTTCCGACATGTGATGTATGTTGACAATATAGCACTCTATATAGCGTACAAAGCAATTTCTCCGCTGCAATATGTTGCAAGGTTTGTTTTTATAAATAGTGGTTTCAATGGGGAGCGTTTCGGGGATTGATGATAGCAGCCACGCTGTTTGGATCATTAAAGCTTAACGCAATCAAAAGACCCGATTTTGAAAATCATCACTATACAAATTGATTTAAGAATTCGCATGTATACAATGTGTGCTGCATTAAACCAGATACAATAAGAGAAGTAAGCCAGATAACCAAACGATGTTCAATCTTGAGAGCATTTTATGAAATCCGCAATGATTTGATGAATTGTAACCAAAAGGGCAAGGTTCACAGAAACAGATTTACAGAAGCAAAAAGTCAGTGGGAATGAAGATGATGATGCGTCTCATGATAGAACAAGCCACGCTCTCCGTGATGATGGGGAAACAAAAAGAGCGTACCGTGGTGCCCATGATGTCCGTGATGTCCATGATGTCCGTGATGTCCATGATGTTCATGATGTCCATGATGATGTCCATGATGATGTTCATGATGTCCGAGAAGTGCAAGAGGTCCATGGTGACCATGATGCCCGGATCCATGGTGGCTAGATCCATGGTGGCTGGATCCGTGATGGCTAGATCCGTGGTGGCCTCCAAATATCTTCATAGCCAAGGCAGCAGCTCCGGCTCCCCCTGCTGCGGCTAAAAGAGGATTTGTTTTACCGCCACCAGCAGCAGGCGGCGGCGGTCCAGACGAGGAACTGCCGCCGAACCCGCCAGGGATCTTGGACATAAGGCCTCCTAGTCCACCGGAAGAAGCTTGGGGTGCGGCTGGAGGTTGGTAGCTGCTTTGTTGAGGGGCTTGATTATAGTAAGAGTTAGATTGGCCTCCATAAGCCTGATTCGGTGGTGGGCCGTTACCGTGATGTGGAGGTGGGTAAGGATTGCCGTATTGATTTGAGCTTGAGGTTTGAGAGGGTTTGCCGGATATCATGTTGCCGAGTGAACTCATAAGACCGCGGTCACCGCCGGCAGCCGCACCACCAGTGGCGCTTTGACGGGGATCGTTCCAAGTTATGAAGGGTGGGGTTTGACGGGTATCGCTGCAAGAGAGATGAATTCAGGGGATCATTACTGATATCGTCTCTGAACGTGATGGGGATGTTGCGACTAACACAAAGTACCACGTATTGTGATTCGCGTCCCATTCTTTGACCCAGCCTTGAGGAAGGGGTGTATTGTCTTGCTGTTGATATGCCATTGTTTGAGAACAAAAGGGAGAAGAACTGAAGACAGATAGGAGAAAGTAAGGGATATGGAATGTGAAGGCTTTTGTTTCGTGGTCGAAAAGGTTTTAATATGGGGTGGTTCGTAAGTGGATGGATAACAGAAATGATAGTAGTGACGTTGAGTTAAAGTATTGTGATTCCTGGATACCGGGAGGCAGAGGAAACTTTTTGAACTGCTGGATAACCAGGTGATTTTAATCTACAAATGAATTGGTGGCGGTGTTATGTTGGGACCAAGTTAGAAATGCAACCCGCAGCGTTGACTGGTTCTGGTTTTAAAACATTTTGATAATCCGTGATGAAATATTCCTGATGTCATAGCTTCTGTGCAAGCCATACCTTCATGTTGTATTCACACATGGTATCGTCAACCATGCAATTATGACCAACCGGTCTGCGTTAGCATCGTCGTCTCCTGTCGCATACTATGGAGAAGGACATTGAAACGCATCCCCAGGCAAACTTGTCAAACGTGTGATCCCACCGTAAGGGTCCTTTGTCCAAAAAGGATGGAGACCCATATGTAAATTGCGCCGGAACTGGACATGAGCACGATCCGACTGATATTGGACAATCCCACTTACCAGAGCTCAACCATCATTACCCTGAACGAAATTGGAGATCGCCTTTCAACTTGAGCGTGACGTCGATGGGGCGTTTTCTTTGCATATCACCGCCCCACGTCTATAGGTTACTCGGCCTATCTCCTTGCGCCCCCTCAGACTACAGAGAGAACAGCTGTGACATTTTTCTTGTTCCTCGCACTGGATATACGTCTGGTCTGGCCCAACCAGATCTCACTCTTGTCTGCAAGTTCGTTACCCATGACTGATCTAGATTATATATCACACCTTTGTCGGCATTTTGGTGACAAGAAGAGGCTATGTTATAGGTTCGTTTTCCGGTAGGCAGAAAGGCCTAACAATTTGAGATCCCATTGTTGCTTAGAAATGAGAGGTCTCTTCCGTGCGCAAGCGCTTTTTGTCGATTTTTAGTATTTCTAATCATTGAAAACTGATTACATCTGGCAGGAGCCAAAGACCATAAATGTCAAATCGGGTGCCAGATGCCTCTCTGATGGTTTGAATCTAGAGACTGAGTGCGCAAATACACAGAATCAGAATGTTTGAGGCACTTGATCAGCTTTTGACCTCCTTTGGCCAATCGTCAGTCTCAATCTGATTCTTCGCCACCATTCAACACATTTACATGCAAGAACTTGCTACATATACTTGATACTTTCTGGAGGCCGATGATTTCTCCAGGTCACAAGCCTTGAATGTGGGATATAACCACATTTTATATCTCGTTCACCTTGCCGACTTAGACTGTTTACAAAAAAGCAAGGGGCCCAATTAAGTGATCATCGGATTCGAATTTGTCCAAAAGTGCTCCAAGGATCCTAGTTATCAGATTGATGATTCTCATGTGACGATAAAGATATGAAAATCACTCAAAGATAGAGTAGAAAGTTGAAAATCACATCAAACAATTCCTTAATTGTTCCTGTGATTCACCCACTCTTGGTGCAGAGAAACATCAACACCAAGTAGTCTAAAATTGTATGTTCCTTGTAACAACAGTCTACAATGGCCAGGTGAGAGTAGCTTCTCCTGCGTCAAAGTCACAAGCTTTATGCATCTTGGATTGGGACTGGTTTTTGATTGCTGGGGACCAATATGTGACAAGATGATAGGTTGGGTATCTTGTCTTTATGAACTTAAACTTTGATCTAGGGGCTTCAGGGTATAAGGATTTGTGGGCTATCAATGCATTTGACAGTCAAAGAAAAAAACGGTATGTCGCAGCTAAAATACTGGAGCCTTTGAGACTGTAGCCACAAAGTGTGGAAAGGCCCACCGATGTAGCCGACAGCAAGGCAAAACGGGATCGGAAGGACAAAAAAGCCTTGTTCACCTTAGACTTGACTTGGGTACAGTCAGTCAACATAATTTTTGAGCTTTGTCTCTTGTTTATATCAGGAGCTCTGAGATAATGCACGTCGCCGAGTACCTTCAAGATGATGCAGTTTTTTATTTCATTTCCACCTGTGGATATACATACATACAATTATGGGCTTAAATCTTCCAGAAATTCACCATTTTACAGCCACCGGCCAGTCCCCGTGGATATGATCAGTAGTGGACTCTATTTTACCTCAATACCAAATCATTCCAAGGCGACCTAGCTTCACCGAGGATAAGTCGCCCTGCCTTCAGATCGGGCGGATGATGAGTGGGTACGTAACGATGATCGTCACAGTAACAGGTTTCTGTTTATAATCATATCCAGATGAGTCTCTTAGGGCTTGATGGATGGTGATGATTGGAAAGTATAAAGAAGCCGAACGCCTTGATGTAGGCTTTCTTCTATCTTTGATGTTGAAATTTCATCAGAAGTGATTCCCGTAGAGGCGCAATCACACTACCATTGGGTCCGAGTGGTGTTCTCTCGCGAAGATGGATTGGTTTAGGTGGTGGTCGTGGTAAGAATGCAGCCGTTGATGCCGAGTCTTCTGGTCCCAAGGAAGCAAATGATAGACCGGTATCGAAGCTGAGGCGGCGAAAGCGTCTTTCTGGAACTTTCCGGTCCAATAAATGTTCTGTGGAGGACGGGGAATATGGCCCTGTATGTGGCCCGTCGTACGCAGGAGGAGGCTTTTTCAAAGGACTTTTATTCACAGAGGTCTCGGTGTTGGAACGAGTTCGGGTCATTCCAACCTCCTTGGATACTGATTTTTCGGACGAATCAGAAAGGGTGAACTGAGAATTCTGACGCAGGCGGGTGAAGAATTGGTTATGTTCTTTTCTTTCCTCTACTTGTGCCCAGGTCCTGAAATAAAAACGAGTTCAGTGGGTACCTGCGGGACAGTGAAGAGGCGCATATCTCGCTCGCTTACCATTGTACGATCACAAAGACGTACGCGCAGTACCCGCCCAAGCCAATCACCTCACGTGCTACCACGGTATTCACCTTCAATAAAGCGATAGCGGTCCTCACGAGAGATAGACTGGTTGCTGTCTGAAGCCACCTAGTAGGAAGACGTTGGTTTGGGGGTGATGTAGGCTCCCCTTTTGCCTTTGTACCATCTTGACCCGATTCTGAAATAGATGCAATTGAAATACGGCGAAGAAGGAGATTGTTCAGAACAATGACCGCGAGGAAGCAAAGCGATAGAGCTACTGATACAGTGGTGTAAACGTTAAAAGTTGACTCGTCACGGGCGCCAACACGGAATCCAGTTCCAGATAATTCGTATTCTACTTTCACAAAGGCGAGGATGTCGAAAACTATGGCTGTAGTGGCAATAGCGATGAGAGTAGAGGGGACAACCAGACGAGCTATCTTGAGGGAAAGTGCGTTTAAAATGACATTTGACCATGTGTGGAAGCCGAAGAAAGAAAGAGATGACAACACGCCCAGCGCAGCTGATTGTTCAGACCCGAATATATATTGGCGATGTGTTAGAGGTGCAAAGAGTTCCCATGTTAGTTCTTATCTCAACAAGAGCTGATAGTAATGCTGACCTGTGAACTTTTCTACCGATGTAAACCGATCAAGGTCTCCGGGGTTGAACCTACTGGCCGTCCCGGTGACCACCGTCAGGGAAAATAAGACTCCCGTTAAGACTAATACCCATCCAACGCTCTGCTTGCGTCTGTCGAAAATCGCAAAAAGTGTATCGAGAGAAGCAACATTTGGTGAGTTGAAGCAAGCACTGGGGATGTGAACTTGCGCCTCACTTTCGTTTCCACAGATATGCACCAAGTCCAAATCCTATGATCCCATGTAATAAGCCAAAGACCAACGTCGTAATGATCGCACTCTTCGTCAAGCCGTTGCACTGAGTGTTGGATAGAATGTTGGAACAAAATACTGCCATTATTCTCGCATTTCGCAACCACTCATGCAAAGCGAATTCAGTCAATCGATTATCGAAAACGGGTCGATGCCTATGGATCTCAATGCGATCGAACGAGCCTGTCGCGAGCGTGCAAGTGAGATAAAGGGTGGATGGACGCCACTTTAATTGGTAAAAAGTCGAGCACCTGATTAAAGTGTTAATTGTAATACCGATCCAGATAAATCGAGGTTGCCAACCTGTCAGGACACCCGAGTAGGATGCTGATTGTCCATGAAGTATCTGATTCTACGTTGCAACGGACAGAAGGCATCGTGCAGAGAGACCGACAACGATGTCAGCCATTGACATCGAGGCTTCATTACCCTTACATATACTCATACAACCAGTACTGTTTATCAACGCGAATTGAACAAGCTTGGCCTGCAAAGTACATGTTCATCCGAGCATGAGCAGGCCTCGGAATGCCTAGCGCACTTACAACAGGCACGAAACTTCGAGTCAGATATACTCACTGCAAAAGAGGATCTTGAAACGAAGAATTTGAACAATGCTTATTGGGACTGATTCACTTTCTACTTACATATCTGAATTAGACGAAACGTTTGCCAGAACCTATGCTGGGATTCGATAATCTGGTGGTGCGCTAGCGTTTGAATAGTCCATGCGCCCGAGGCGGCTGGTTGTCCGAAAAGAATCGCGCCTGAGAAGGCGCGCGCGCCGTGCGACAAATTTAACAGTCCAATAATCAATAGCTGATAGACTAATCCTTTTCTACATGTCTTTGACCCTATCTGGATTCAAGGGGTTAAAAACAAAAGTTTGTCATTTTGTACTGCATAAAGAAGGCCCTTGGGAACAAGGAATTGGGTTGAATATCATTCCAACAAAGAGCGGTGTGTTGTATATTTGACTTTCATCATCAAGAGAAAATGGTGGTGTACGTAGAGTGTTGAAGACTTCAGGGTATAGACGGGGACTTGAATCTGAATGGGCAAGAAAGCCACATTTGTGCAACCACACAGGGCACTTGTCGTACATACTTTCTAACAGTGATGTGGCGGACACAGGCCCCTTTGACGCAAAGTACGAACAGTCTGAAGAACAGGCGCTCAAAATCTGATGAACGGCCGCCATGCGCTTGACTGTGATGCAGTCAACGGGCTGAAGGTCGCGTGGTTCTTACAGGGGATGACAAGTAGCTCAGTGCAATGGGCAACAAGACTCTATGAGGGATGTGAACAGGATAGACCGTGTGTTCACAGAAGGCACACGACATGGATATAGTATGACGTCCGTTCATTTGGCGAGCTCTCGTTTGTATTGGGAGCCGGACAGGGCATGCAGGCTGTGACAATGAGACATGAACAATTGCATAGCCATATGGAGAAGTAGTGACATAGCACGGGACGAAGTTTCCCTCGAGGAAAAACCAGGATAAGAAGCTTAGACCTTGAAACCACGAGATTGACGACGACCACGACCCTTTTCTGAAAGACGGATTGATAGAGGAAAACGTTAGTGGCGAATGAGCAAGTGGCAACTGTCTATAGTATTGCAACTGACCGAACTTGCGTCCCTTGGACAAGACATATGGTCGCTTGTTCTTGTGTGGACCATGACCGAAATGGCGGTTGGCCTCACGGGCGTTCTTCTTTCCTCGGAGCAAGACAACATTAGAGCCGGTGGGGTATCGGAGTGCCAATTGATCAAAGGTAAGGCATTCTCCACCAGCGGCAAGGATTCGAGCGCGAGCAGTGGTGGTGAAACGGAGGGCAGCAATGGATAGCTTGGGGACTTCGAGGAAACGGACATCATCAGTGACGGTACCAACGAGAGCGACAGTCTTTTCGGCTAGAAAAGGGAAAATCAAGCGAGTGGTCAGGACTTCTTTTGAAGAATATCAGTTGCTAAACTGAGTGACCGCTTACGAGTATCCTTGATGGAGGTAGCGATACGTGAAATTGACATTGGGGGTCGGTGCATTTTGCTCATGTAAAGTCTTCGAAGGACAACTTTGTTGAAGGTACCTTCGGTTCGGCGGGCCAAGAAGCGGTAAAGCTAAGAATAACACGTCAGTCCTGAACAACTCCACAAAAGGAAGAATAGCGCCAACCTTGACAAGGAGCATGAGGTAGGGATCCTCGGATCGCGGGGCTGTTCGGTGCCCCTTTCTGACATGGTGGTGTGCGATGTCGATACCCTGTGGATTCGTCGAAAAGATAACGGTTAGAATACCATAATGTGATGGCCGACAACACCGTAGCGTGCAAAACAGGGGCCGCAGGCTGATGAGAGCTGAGCGAAGAATAGGCCACCGAGCCGCTTCGTTGATCATGAGTCAGGCATCACGGATTGGTCGCTGAAGAATCCGAGCGCAAGCAGCATGTCCAATGAAGCAGGTTCAAGGTTGAGGCCGACAAGGCAAGCCTTGAGACATAGTAGGCGACTGAGCACTACTAGTGGATGGCTTTGTTGGGTACCCTGAAAGGAATACCAACAACAGCACGCCTATCTCCATCGCAGCTCTCTGGGCAGGCCCCGTTTCTTTGCTACGCAAGAACGTTCGAAAAAGAGAGTTGAGGGGAGAAGACTCGCCATCTCGGAGACTGTGTCGGGGTCGCTTGAGGTGAGTTAGTCGGAAGTTGAGTCTTGAGGTAGTCGTGCAGCACGCGCAGAGCCAGTTCAGTCCGACGTATACTTTGCAATACCCCACCTGGAGCGGTAGTTAGGTTTAAACAACCATCACCAAGCTGAACCTAACATAACTCAAACCTGTCTAACAACATGAAAATGTACCCATACATGCCTCAATTTCAAAGACACGATAACACCACCCACCGACCTGAACTCTGCATCTCGAATCGGAAGCTCATCAAGGTAGAGAGACTTTGTGGTGTCTGTCCTTGTGCCACCCACTTTGTATCTGCGCTCTCATCCTCAAAATCTATCCTCAATCCTGATATTGCCTTACACAATGTACTTAAGGTTAAACGATCGATACCATACCTCTACTGTAAAACATGTCCTTGTGATACGGTATGAAGGGATACACACATGAATGTATACGCACGATTACTCATTTGAAATAAGTGAAGCTAGATACAGTCATTTAAGAAAAGCTTGCCCCAAATTCCCCGCCAATTCGCTCGAGTTTTGCGGGCAATTTAGGGCAAGCTTTTCTTAAATGACTGTATGTAAGATTCAGACATCTCATTCAAATATTCGGCGCAATGACGATGTCAAAGGTCTTGATCCAGAATTGCGACCTTTCTGTTACAAAGGCGTAGCCTGTAGGGTGATCCCTGTGTAAGGCACACAAGCGAGATCCTGAAGCTATCATCCTTGTTCCAAGCCATGTATGTGATTGATGCATTACAAGCAGACAACTGCCTCGAGCTCTTCCCTGTCTGTATAATTTATGTAAGTTGTAAACTTCAACAGAATCTTTGTAGATTGGGTTAAATGTTGCATAGATTACTGATCAGTGGGTTCCACAAAATGCCATGCAGCCGTGGAGACCTGAACCCACTCAACAGCCTTTCTTGGGGTAAGAAGGCGCCAAGAATGCAAGAGAATTGAGTATTAAGCACACATTATTCAGAGGGAAAGATGTTCAAAAAGGTGATCCTTTGGTTCAAATTGACTTTACTTGATGAGGAAAACCAAAGATGATATGTCCAGCAAAGGACTCATGATATCATTTTGGTAATGATTCTCAATTTTCTGCATATCTTTTTTGCTTCATGCAGCATCATTCAGAGCATCAACTTCAAGTCTCACCCCACCAGTGTCATTTGTTCAGCTTTTATTAAAGAGTCTCCCGTATGATTCCAACAATTTGATTACTTTAGATGAGATGACATAAATTAAATTGTAACCCCCCCTTTGAAATTTTGATTCATGACTTACTAAGGGAATTTTCTCTGTGCCAGCCAAAATAGAAGGAATTTGTGCTATTTTGGCTCACTTCCTAAATTAATCTGTACCTTGCTTCTCTCATAAACTCCCACTTGTATGACCAGACTCTGTGCAAACCATCTTCCTTGATGATCAACTTACCCATAACAAACCTCCCCATTTATGCTACATGCCATACTGTAGGGAAACATTGCTGTACATTGTTCAAATTTCATACTGCAATCACTTCCCTAAACAATCCATGCAACCCACCATATGATACAAATTTATGGCATGGCTGTGGATGCTCTTAGCAAGAACTTTCCTAAAAGAACAGAATTGAAACCATATGAGTCACTTGATTCTTGATATTCTCACAAACTCAACAACGGGAAATCTAGTTCATATTTGGCCAATGAGGTGTGAGGCATGCAACAGGATTTTGTGGGGTCACCTGAAACGGCTGAGAATAGTTCACAATGGAGCTTAGGTTATGGTCAGTTCCAAAGTGAGAGGCTCTAGATTGGGGTGTAGCATGCAAATCAATATGATATGTGCAACATTCCTCTTTGGGTCAGCCCCAAGTAGTGTATGGTGGCCCAAGATGAGGTTATCACAATCAGTGTGCATGTAAGTTTTTTTAAATTACTTTCCTTCATTATAATTAGGGGGAATTGTTAAATTTATTGTCCGGTTGTTGCTTCAAAAGTCTAGTATTTCTTTAGGGTGATCAACGTAAAGTGAGTTGCTTCTTAATTTATATTGATATTGTCTCTTTTTGTATTTCTCATCTATCAACATCACATTACGTAGCTCAATAGAGATTGTTATGTCATTGATCATATGACATCATTTTGTGTCAATCCATGTTGTTTTTCTATTTATAACCTGATCTTAAACATCAGTTGAACTGGTTTGTATCTTTACAAAATCTTATTATAAGATTTGTTGCTTTAGTTTCATTTTACCTATACTAAATTGTATGTTTTTTTTTGGATTCAGGTAATGAATAATCTTTGATCTGACTGTATCTGTACAAAATCTTATTACAAGATTTGTTGCTTGATTTTCTTTCACCTATACTAAGATTCACGCTTTTTTGTTTGGATTCAGTCCAACAGGAATCAAAATTTCAGCAATTTGGCAGGGTAAGGAGACATGAAGTATAATATACCAGGACCCCGGAATGCCCCTATAAAGGGTAGTGATCTGAAAAAGTCCCTTTTTGACTTCCGCGGATCCCCACCTCTGCCAAATGGCTAAGTCTGTTCCTGGCTTCACCCATACCTTTAAGAGGGTCTTAAGTTTTCCTTGGACTTCCTTGAGACTGTCAAAGACTGGCATGGATCACAAAAACCAATGATAACAGAAGGCAGAAATGGGCAGAATCCAAGCGAGCTGTGTATAATCCCATAAATTTTAACTCCGCAGAAGTCAAAAAGGGACTTATTTAGATCACTACCCTTTATAGGGGCATTCCGGGGTCCTAACATACCCCACATTCAGGCACCAGTGCATTCAGGTCACCAGAGATCACTGACCTACAGGTGCACCCACATATAAAAGTATGAGCTTTGTAAAGCATGAGAGTACTCAGTACTAGACATGAGGACACAAGTGATGAGCAAAGAAAGTGCCTGATGGTACAAGAAACACCCACAGATAAGAATGGATGAAGAAAAGAAACTCTAGTGAAGAGATAAATTCTTATATAGTGGGGATCTTGTAAAACCATGGTGCACTTAAGGAAATAAATAGATTAAAATAAGTCAAAAGACAACATCACATCATACTGATAATTAACACTTATGTCTAAGAGAAATGAAAGAAATGAAAGAAGATAATTATATCAATACCACAGGGTATGCTGGCAGTTGGGCATTGATACCCCACACATCAATATTCAAAACCCCTCCTTTTATAGACCCAACAAAATCCTTTGCTCCACAGAAGACATTGAGCAAGGGACTTAAAGCTATTTGTTGATTTTTGGTGTGAGTACTCAAAGTCTTTTGTCTCATGAGGTGTTTTTTTGCCATTTATTGCTTTCCTCACTGATCACCACAACCTGGCCACTCTATAATTTCCAGTATGTTCTACACATACCCCCCCTATCTGGGATATTCTGGGTGGTTATTCCTTCCTGCTCATTTGCAGCTTGCTACTACCACAGCCTGTATGGGGAGCTTTGAACAGGCCTGTTTTGGAATTCAAAACCCAAACTCCAAATTTTATCTCTGCCTACCAAAGGTACCTGGTGTGAGATTGATATTTGTATCAAGTACAAGCAACACTGCCACAAATACGATACTGGTATTGTATCGACAATACTCAGTAAAGTAACGGGTCTACGATACTCAGGAATCCAAGCCTCAGTAACGTACATGTACCCACAATACGATACTCAGTAAAGTATTGCAATGGCGATACTGTGCCGCCCATTACCTAGTAGCGTATCTTGTCATGATACCGATCAGATACTGATACTGTATCGTAGTATCGCACTCCCAGACACAAAAACACCAGAGATTGTATACTCAATACTTCCCTGGGCCCATTGCGGTATCGTACTTGGGGTACAATACAATACTCAGTAAAGTAACACCATACACAATACTGCCAGGAGGATCGGGCAGTAACGTATTGTGGCTGCGATACTGATACTGACAATACAATACTAAAAAAAAACTAAGATACCGTTACGATACCGATACTGGTAAAGTAATTGTGGCAGCGTTGGTACAAGCATTTGATAATGTGTTGGACATTGAGAAAAATCAAAATTAACACTCAAAACAACCCTCACACTGGGGTGATTGCTATTACATGCATGCATGCATCCAATAATCTTGGATTTGATCAAAGGGTTTAAGATATCTGTGTCAAATAAGCCTCCATTGAAGTGGCTGTGTCCACAAGAATGTGACTGCTACTCTTCCTCCTCTTCCAGCGCAACCAGCCATATGCAAAAACTCATTTGAAGTGGCTTTGCCTATCAAAATCACATGCCATACTCAAGACCAATCTTGAACCATCCCAAGTGTCAAGTCATGCCAGGAATATGGTCTCTCTGTAAACTTTTTTGCTTGTGTACTTTTTCCTTGAGTTCCAGTGTTGTATTGGTAGTAACGTAAAAAAGTGATCATGCAATTACCACTATCATCCAGATTACCACATGCCTTTTTGATGTCATCTAGAGCCAAGAAAGTTCCGTATTGAGTGTGACAGTAGACCAATATGGGAGATACCTCAGAGTTGGGTACATCCTGGTACATCAGCTTTCCTTGGGAAGAACTTTGAGAGGTCTTTCCCAGAGTTCTTTCTGTGAGAAAAGGTCAATCAAATGAATCATATCTCAGGTCTAGTGATCTCTCCATGATCAATGTCATCTTTGTTTGTCTTGAGGCTGGAGAGAATATGATGAAAAGCTTTTGGTGTGCAAGTTACTGACATGAGAAGAGTGGCAACCGGATCTGTATCAAGGAATTGGTTTATTAAGTTGCCATAGGATGATTGAAATGTAGCTTGGTCCCGAGATTTGGTCAGAGCCCCCTGGTATTTGTGGTTTCCACTCATTGCAAGTCCCCATGTGTAAATCAAATGAGCTTTGTCAACAACTTTGGGGATGAGACAGTCATAAAATTTTCTTGAAAAGTAAATACTTTCAAAGAGATCACTGTTCATGATGATTTCAGGAGACTACGATAGGGTGTTTCAAGTTTGCATTTTTTTGCATATTTTTTATAAGTCCGGGCAAGTTTTTTGTAAGAAAAATCTCTGTGAATCCCACATATTTTTGATTTGGGACACCTTGCAGGTAGAAAGGTGTCCCTCTAGAAAATTTACGCATGTTTACAACAATGGGCAAGTTATTGTAGCATAAAAATATGTGAAAACCTTCAACTGGAAACCCCCTAATGATTTTGAGACCCTTACAACTTCACAGCGGCCATTTTACTATGGCACATTGACATGCACACACAGGGTGGTTTGTTTAAAAAATGAAAAAAATCCAGTTTCTTTGTTAGACTTTGGTGAAATGCCAGCACCCCCTTAGTCTCAGAAAGGGATATCAGACTTCCTATGCCTAACAGTATCACCGCCTGGGGGAGAGACTCAAGAAAGGACTGTCTGTGCGTGGTGCTTTTTGTATTACAGAGATTCACTCGGCACCCATTTGTGGGAACTAGATGATGAACCAGAAACAATCAGAAAAAGTGAAGTACAATCCACAAAGTGGTTACCATTCTTGATCTCTCTCTACGTAACGTTGGTCTCAAGCTCTTGTATCCTTGAAGATTGATCAGAAAGGATTCAATTTCATATCGTATAATTGTAATCCATTGGATCGCAAGAGAAACAAGTGATAGTTTATGCTTTGACGTTGGGCGCATTGGCACCTCGAATGTTTAAGACCAGCGGTTCCCCTTTGTTGTCAAAGCACTTTTCGCTCTTCAGTGCTGATAAGATATACAAGATTGTGTTTCCGGGTGCAACATAGCCTCATCTCGACTAGGTGGTGCATGTCCATCGTAGATGCCTGACAAATCATCGAGACACTTCTTTCTTATCTTATTGTGAGGCTCATGATCACCTCCGATAGGCTTGCGATTTATCGGGCTTTGAAGCGCAGAGTCAAGGCTCTGTAATCGAGTATGTCAACTATCAGATGCTATATTTTGATAATATTCGATTTGACACAAGGTGTCAAGAAACCGAAGTTGAAAACAGTCGTATATATCGTTGTAAAACCTACCGCTAACTATTTTCCAAGATCAGTCCGTCGAATAATTGTATCATTCTCTGCGGCTGCCTTAAATATTTTTCCAACGAGACCGAGCCGTGGTCAACAAGAATCCAGTCAAGCAACACCCAGATTTCACATACCTGAAGTTTTGAGAGTCGTTCTCTATCAACATTCTGTGCTCTTCGTTCATCGACTTTGCGTTTCAAGTCAGGCGCGAGAGCCTATCATAAAACACCACACCACACGTAAAATAGCATAAATGTTGTGAGATGTTGCCTGATTCGCGGGATCGCTTCCAAAAGACTGATAGATTCCTTACATTGTAAAATTCCTCTAGTATGGCAGAAACGATTGCGTCAGTTTGGATCTTCAAAGGCAAGACATCCGATAACGATCCTCACCATCCGAAGGAGTCACGGCTACACCCATAAATCATGGACATCAACAATTGTTCCTTTTCAACCTCCATTGAATCAGTCTTGTTTCAAGAGCTTACCCCTCATCACGCCGTATCCCAGTGCACTAACTTTATTCAATCGTCGCTCATGTCAGGCTCCACAAAAACGTGACAGGATCAGGTTTTTAAGGAGTTAAACCTACAGACAGCGAGGGCAGCCACTGCTCTTCCCACAGGTAAGCGTCCTGACATTCACCAATATAGCCACGTATTAAATCGAGAAAATCCTTAGGAGATAGTTTTGATTGAAGTTGCTGAAGAATGATGTCAGAGAAAGTTTGCGATGGTTTTCAAGAGGATTCGGTGAGACGCGGCGAACAGCCCCGAGTAGATTGAAGCCACAGATAAGATCCGCACGGGAGCGGCGAACGGGTCGGATCTTGCTGAGCCTTTCCTGGAGCACCCCACCACAGAAAAGTCCTTCAAAATTCATCACATTCTTCTATTGCTCTCCAGATAGTGATCCACCTATTAGGTTCTCCCAAAACTCTGATTAAATCTCTATGAATTCTGTATCCTTACCCCTACCCCTCAGTGTCAAATGAAACTTGAGAAAAATCAACAAATGTTTTTTACCAAGCCAGGCCTGATTTGATGAATACCTTAGCACAAAGGTTTTTCAGTTCCTGCCTCATTGAAATTTTTCCTGGATTCATCGACACGTGATACACCAAAAATATAAACTTCATGTGTACCAACTCAAAAGTGAGTGAGTTTAAAAAAGAATGAAAAACACTTTCAATTTCCGGAAGAACTCACTGAGTCATAAGTCCAAGAAATCTCACAACCCAATTGGTCAGCCCTCAGTTTTATTCTTTGGAATATATTTGAACGAGTCCACAGCAGTTGTGAGAAGTTAGAACCCGAGATTCGGTCTTCAGGTCAAATAATATCTGAAAACAATCCAAACCTTAACTGTGTCACTACCTGATGGCCACAAGCTGGAATACTATTCCTGCGTGAAGATACAATTCGATCAAAATCTACCACGTTGCCCAGATGCTGTGATTTGAGCTTACTTCATCACCTTAGAAAAAGAATACCGATTTACCAAGAATGCAGAATCGACAAGGGTTCCCGCATCACAATATAACAGAAATATCACTAAAATTGAATTTAGCTTCATATGAAAATCCAAAATAAAACAAAAAAACAAGTTTACAAAATGCGTTCGGAGAGTATAAGAAACATCTAAAAACAGATGTAACAACTCCTCACATACAAGACCCCATTGAAAATAACTTTCCAATAATCCCAAGATCTCAATCAAACTAATCGTTCAAATCAATACCAAAAAAACGTTTTCAGAACCAAAACACTCAGGAACGAGCAACGTAACTCTGAAATCATTCCCCTAAGGGACTTCATCCTCCTGTCATTTTGTTTTCATCAACATTTATCTAGTATTGATTTTCACTTTCGTCGTCATGATGATCATCAGTTTCTTGTAGTTTTGATTTCCCATAATCAGTTGATGGCTTATGCGCATAACTTCTTTGGTGATCCCAGCGAGTTTTTCGTCATGATGCGTGAATGAGAAAGATGAGAAATATTCCAATGATAGGATCTAAATCCGAATATAAACTTCAAATGATTTATCAAGGAACCTGAAAGAACCAGGGAAAAAGACATTTATTAATCCGGGTTTACATGCGTAAATGTAACAGAATCGCCAGAAAGAAAAAGAACGACCTTACGATTGTAATCATCATATCAGCGAGCCCCAAGACCAACAAACCAAACCGTATCCTCCCTTCGATCGTAGCACCGCACATGCATAGAGACAGAGACACACATCCTTCAAAGAAGAAACGGGTTCTAAATCCACTTTTATGATCTTTATGATCAAGAAAGACAAAAAGTGGACACAAAAAACAAAAAAAAGGCTGGTAGAAAGCCTTCATAGCAGTTTTGCATAGATTCATCCGATTGATTCCCAAACAGGAAGAAGAAGGAAAAAGTATGGGCTAGTGACCTTTATCTCATGCTCTCTTTCACCTTCTTTGACTTAGTCACCTGTCGTAGTAATCCCACAGAGTTTCAATCATATACATATGATCAATGGCATCGACAGCGTCTCCTTAGAAACGGACTCATCATTCCGACTCCGCGCAAGGTTATAAGATAATGACAACTGAGGGTCTGATGTTCGGATCAACCAACATCTCTAACACCTCAAACATGCCACCTGTGAGCACGCGTGTTCCATGTGCTTGAGCCGAGATCATCGATAGTCTCATGAAGTAGATGTGAACCATGAATAAACAGATCAAGCAAAGGATGTAGAAAGAAGACACACAGTCTTATTCCCAGAAAGCGAGCTTATTGGAATCTGTTTCACATCAGCACTTATGTTGCCACTATCTACTCGGGACTCTTGAAATATCGAATGAACACTGATAGATGATGAAAGCACATTGTCGAGCGAGGATATATATCAAGACCAGCCCAGCGTGAAAACAATTTAGCAAGAGTCGGTCCTAGTCTTAAGCTAGCCATAGCGGGATATAGACCCTTTGATCAATCATATGATTCAAAATCACTGGTTTCCCACAGCAAATCACAATCAAAAGAAGGATAATCGAAAGCATAGAGATGTCAGGCATGACCAAGCAATGAACCTTTGTTCGTCTTCCTGTACCAGATGAATCCATGAAAATGCCGATGCAAGAAACCGACAAAGCCTCATTCAAGCTTACAGGTCCAAGAAAAGAGGTGAAGAAAGAACTGAATCATTCAACACGATCGATTTGGCCAACAACTGAAATCAGATTCGGGTCGCAAGAACTTAGGGTTAGATGCAGAATTTTGCAGTCATCGAACCAGTTCGAAGCGTCAGGAGCTGATCAGTTTCAGATTGACCAATTCCGTCATCCACTATACGACATGCAGCCAAATCAGCGAAACTCTGGGAATGGAACCGTTCTTTAGTCCGGATGTGTGCTCGAGCAATGTGTGGGTGTGGCGTGCGTCTCAGTTCGGATAGAGCTCTCGTTCTAGGCTGTCGTTTTCAAGGACCAGGCAGTTGATCGAGTGGAGAGTAGAGGCGTTGAATCAGACAAGTTATAATTGATCAGGATTCAATGGACATTCGAAACGCGTACCTCGAAGCAAAATCGGGGATGGTGCGATGTGCATCGATCACCCTCTCAGGCACCATGATAAGACTGCTTGAAAAAGATAAAAACAATTCAAGACAACATAGATCGAACAAAGGAGAAACAAGGGTCATCATCAAGGGTCGTTGTATCTTTTTGAGGTCGAAACACTCTACTTACCATGTAGCCGAACGGGGATCTCGAGGGATCAAAATGACTTCAGAAGGTGAAGTGAGTAGAGATATGGTCGAAGTGGTTTATAGTCATAGAAGTGATGATGACCGATGTTGATTGGTAAACTGGTAAAGTGGTAAACTGCTCGAATCTAAATTCAGATTTAAATTGGGTCGCGTTGGCTGAGGGATCACGTGATGGCTGATCAGGCTACATACAAATCACAGTAACACAAAGCCATAGCCTAGAAGTAGAGACAGGCTGATACATAGCATGGGATGAGGAAGGTTTGTTCGTTAACATCAAGGTTAACAATGAAAGTCTCTTTTACCTTGAACCACAAATCTGTGGAAACGTGCAAGAATTAATAAATTATTAAAAGGTTAACAATGGACTTGAAAGCCTACCTCGCTTCCGCATATATGTCAGGTCCGAAAGCCGAAGCTAATCATCTGTTCCATCAGAAAGCTCAACACAAAAGAGCCGTGGAAAATCAAGATACGAGTAATTTAACGAGTCAAACTTCATCTGGGCTTATATGAACATGAATGATGTTGTGGAAGAAGAGAATGGACCAGATGAGGATCATCTTCCAAAAGATCATCAAATTATAACGTGAGACCGAACTGACGCATTTTTTTTTTGAAGTTACAACTGGAGTCACAGGAGGGTTACAAACTGTTGATTGAATTAAAGCTCATCTTAAATCACAGCAAATGAAACAAAAAGTAAAAGAAAGTCAAAGAGAAGAAACGGGTTATCGTGGTTCATCAGGTTGAAAGATTGATACAAAACAACTTCGAGCTGAGGAAAAAAGAAGGCAAGCCAAATATCTAGAAACGGCTATGATAAAGATGGAATGGGGAAAAGGTCAGTACAAAGGGACGATAAGAAAGCTGGTGCTGATAAATTGAGCAAAATGGCTGCTCAAACTTTTGCAAGGTAAGAAGTTCATGAGCCCTTCCTTTGGTTCTCGAGTCATACATCAATTATTTTTCGGGATATCCCATAGAACGATCAATGGTCAAGAGATGAATCAAGAGATGGAGGGTGTTCAACGCTGGAATGGTCCTGCAGCTGGTTTCTTAACTGTGAGTGATCTGGAATTTCAGTCATTTCTATGATTCTTGAACTCCGAGGAGATTTTAAACCTCGATGTGAGCATAGAAACCATCCGAATCGACCTCTGAGCAAACCCGACCTAAATAATCTGATCCACCACCACCGCCTTGAAAGAAAACTGGTCAAGGTGGAAAAATAGGTTCATTATTCTTGACTACAGTCGAGGTTACATCGTGGTCAGGCTACGTAGACGCGTATGAAAGACACAACAGCAATCACATGATGGAACTTCAAATTTTCAACCTCCATTTGCGAAGAGATCATGGATACGGGATGCAGAAGAAGTATCCAAAGTGGAAAGGGTTATCATATCTGTAATTTTGAATATGTCTGAAGATTAGTTGAACTTGAGCATTATGATCGAGTTAAATCGGAAATATCACACACACAACCAGTTAGGAAAGTGTAGGGCACCTGCTATAGCCCTGTGTAAACGTGGCTGACAAACGATCTTGATCAGTAATGATCACTTTGGAATAAGAACGCCGAAAACCATCAAGTTTCTAGCTTCACAGAGACTAACTTAAAGCAGTGACTCGTCTTGCCTTCGTGTCTTTGATACTTCATGCTGATATTACAGACCACAGTTTGCTCTTTGGGTATATCAGCCGTAAGATCTGAGTTCTCCGCTGTAGTATGTAAGTGTGTTGCACCTATCTCTTCAACCCCTCTTCTGTTAGGAACATCCGAATGGTGGGCTTTTTCAATCCTTGAGGCCGGGTCGATGAACTGCCATGCGTGTTCCCTCTACCACAGATAAAGAAGAACTGAGATAATATGATGAGTGAGAATATATTATTCATGTCTTGTGAATGGATATATCATATCCAAAGATTTCTAGCGGGGTACATTATCATAGGTAGCAAAGTTCAGACACATTTTGAACGCGGCCAAGATCTAGTTGGCGAAAGCTTCCAAATTATTAGACCTCCCAATACTTTTAACTTTTTGGACGTTTTTTTTTTGAATCTTGCAACTGTGATCTTGAGGATTTCGATGTTCAAGATACGCAATCAACACAAATCTATACATACCGCATGAGCCCTCAAGGTTTTCTAAATCTGGGCAAAATCACGGACATTCAAAAACCTCAAAAAGTATATGCAGATAGTTCAAAATATCAATAAGCCAAGTCCCACTAGTTTTTTACACCCAAACAGGATCCACTTTCATTCTTGAAAATTCCCCACCTAATTCCTTCAAACTTTGTAGTCTTCTGTTATCAATCTCACCTATTTGATGGCAAATATGATCCCAATCCTGTTCATGTTCTTGTCATAACCAGAAATAATTCACCTAGCTCTTCTGGTAATTGTTCCCATGCCAGATAAAACGAAACAGTCAATACAAGATCAAGAGTCAACAAATTCTAAGCTGAATGAATCTCTCTTTGGATTTCAAAAATCATTGCGAGAAAAGAAAATTAACATAATTCGAGTCTTTCTTTCAATGACTCAGCAAATGGTAGCCAGACAAAACTTCGGAGAAAGGAAAAGTTTGACCCTGGTTGCAGGAAACCATTGAGGACGTTTCCGTTGGAGTAAGACTACGCAGCGATAGATGATGAAACATAGCAGTGATCAGAAGATAGAGGCTGAGGTTCTCAACCTCCATTCACACGGACATCCTCAGTGAGATCTGAGCTACAAGCTTTACAGCCGACACCCTGATCGTCATTCATTCCCAGAAGATAGTTTGCAAACATGGGACCGGGGAGGTTTCCAATTGTCTGGTAATAGATGACAATCCAAGATCAGCCAAGGATTAATGTTACACCGTTATCAAATCAAATCTGAATCCTGACATACCACACCGGTTGGAAGTTCGTATTTTGGACATTGCTTCTTTCCTGTTGAAACCAACACGCTATTGCTGAACATATTGTTGTATGCTGCATTCATGTCGTCTTGCGGGTATGTAGGTGGTAGCCTGTGAAGTATATGCATTTGTTAAGAATGCTAAATCGATATAACATCAAGCAAACTGGCTACGGATGCGTGTACATACCCATTGATACCCGCTAAGGGGTCCATTTCGCGAGTGATTGGCATGACCTGTTGAGATAACATTCATTTGAGCAAGTTGAACCCATGATTTTTTCAGATGTCTGTTTCATTCAACTTACCGCACAGGTGTCACAAATGGCACAGGGTGGGGAAGGCTGGATAATATACAGTTGAGCAATAGCCCTGTGTGAACGCGGTTGACAAATGATATCTATCAGTAGCGATCAATACAAAGAAGTCTATCGGTTTGAAAAGAACATGAACGACTAGAAATTTCTTAGCCTGCCAGAAATAATGACTGACTGAAAGCAGTTTCGCGCCTTGCCTGTTTGTTTTGGATACTTGTCGCTGACTCGGCAGGTCATAGCACGATCTTGTTCTGAGAGGTCTTGACCATTACCCTGCCTTTTTTCAATAACGGTAGGGTGGTGAGCTTCCTCAAACACGAAGGATCGCACCGCTGATCTATGATTTGTGTTGACTTGAGCAAAAATGAAGCAGAACTGAGAGAAAGCCAAAAGTGCTAAGATATAGTTCATGTTGGTGATAAAGACTATTCGATGAGGCTAGTAAGGGCTAGTGGGGGTATCTAGACGGGAGGTAATACCAGCTGGTGGTCCATGGAGGGACACTGCTTTATACTTCTGCTGAACTCATCATAGTCCCACGCCGTGTCTCGCAGGACTCGGGGTGAGAAGCACGTACAATAAAGGACCCAATACATATCTATAAAAAGAATTGTTGATTGACACCTAAACTCAACTGAGTGACAAAACAGGACAAAACTTGACCATGCTGAGAGCATCTCCAACGGCACCTTGTAAACGTAACGATACGTAAGCTGTATGTTACGTTTACAGGGTCAGGTCAAAAAACCTAAGAGCATCTCCAACGCGGTCGGTATCTGTAAAACTCATACACATCCGAATTGGGCCTGCTGAAGAAGTACAGCAGGCTGTATTCGTTTTTGAGAATTGACTTCCTCCAACGCGCACCTGAGGTGCCCCCACCCAAGGTCATGCGGCTGCCGTAAATGCCAGATATCTTCCGAATTGATAATAAGTTGACATCAATCACAATCAATGATTGTGATCATCAATTGTGATCGATTGTGATCGAGGTGATACGAGATCACATCACAGCGCAACTGCTGGTACAATAGAGGCGTAGTTAGTGACAAATCCCTTTCCAATATTTCCCGTCCATTTTGATTTACCTGTTTCCTCTGTCTCATATTCTTTTATCTCAACATACTATTATCTTTCAATTTGTTATTATAATTCATTTTCCAGCTGAAATGAACCGCGAAGGAATTATTGCTCCATCTTTCATAGCTCAATTCGTCATATGCGCCGGCCTGCAAAGGCAATTTATCGCCGCTATTGCATCCTATAGCCCAGAAGTCCAGGCCTACCTCAAGGTATCACATATACCTCGGGGACCTGGCGGCTCTCATCCTGGAAGGTCGCCTAATCTGCCTCGAGACTCGGTGATGGGACACCTCGGATTAATGAGGGACTACTTTGACGTCACTCCGGTCTATAGTGAGCTGATGTTTCAAAGGCGATTCCGAATGAGTCGTCGCCTCTTCGTACACATTGCGAAAACGTTGGGCAGTATTGATCCTTACTTCACTCAGAGAACGGATGCTTTAGGTACGTTTTGTTAAATACTTTCATTCTATTCTTAACTTTGATGTTTATATCAGCTCTCTGTGATCATTTGAAGGAAAACCTGGCCTCTCGCCTTTCCAGAAATGTGCGGCTGCTCTCCAACAACTCGCTTACGGCACCTCGGCCGATGCTCAAGATGAATATTTACGTATTGGGGAATCAACCGCTATTGAGTCCCTCAAGAGATTCTGCATGGGTGTCATTGTCGCCTTCAAGTCCCAATTTCAACGAAAACCGAACGCTGAGGATGTTGAAAGAATTCTTGAAGATAATGCGAGTCGTGGGTTCCCTGGAATGCTCGGCTCCCTGGACTGTATGCACTGGGAGTGGAAAAACTGCCCGAAGGCCTTGAAAGGCCACTATAGTGGAAAAGAAGGAGTGCCGACTTTAGTGCTCGAAGTGGTGGCTACACGCAATCTCCACATTTGGCACTCCTTCTTTGGACTACCCGGAAGTCTGAATGACATTAATGTTTTGGAACGGTCTCACTTGTTCCAAGACTTGGCCTTAGGAAATGCTCCGCCCTGTGAGTATACTGTGAATGGAAACGTTTACAAAACTCCTTATTATCTTGCGGATGGAATCTACCCAAACTGGGCAACTCTCATCCAGACCATCAGCAGCCCTCAAGATCCTAGACCTAGTGTAAGATCTCCTTGAATGTTCATATCTATGTATATTCCATTAACTGATCTTGAGTTTGTTACAGCTCTTTTCGCAACTTCAGGAAGCGGTCCGGAAAGACGTTGAACGTACCTTCGGAGTGTCGCAAGCTCGCTTTGAAATTATAAAGGGCCCTTGTAGAATGTGGCAGCCAGCAGTTCTTGAACTAATCATGAACTGTTGTATTATATTACACAACATGATCGTAGCAGATCAGGCTGGCGAACCTCGAGGGGCAGATGATGTCCACATATTCGACCCTCCTCCGCCTCCTCCCCCTGCTCGACTTCCTCGTCCTGAAGGCGCCTTTGCGCGCTTCATGGAAGGTCGTAACTTCCGTGATCCCCAAGCTCAGCGAAAATTACGTGATGATCTTGTGGATCACATATGGGAAATGTTTGGCCCTCACGATTAGTAGATAGATGGTGGACGGTGTGGATTTGTTACGTGTTTGTTAATCGACCTAGTTATACAAACTATTTGTGGTTATTTTAATGTTCCTTACCACTCCCAATCCCTCTCATTCATTTGATTGTTTCTCTCGTTGGTTTCAAGTTTGTCTCAGTTTGTGTCTTGGTTTGTATCCTTTTTCGTATCCGTATCCGTTGTGGTGATCTATTTATGATATTAATCAAAAAAATTAATCATCTTTACTTTACCAGTTTATTAGCAAACTTCAATATAGCAGAGAATTCGAAATTCAGGTTTTCAGATCAATTGAAGCTCTTAGAGGCTTATGTATACTTATTAGCTCATTATTATGTCATCTTATTTCAAAATTATTATTAAGATCAACATAGTTTACTTACAAAGTTATTACAAAAAGACAGAAAAAGAAAAGATAAGAAAAATTCGAAAATATAGGTGTAAAAGTTGGAAAATGGTTTTTAGCTTATTTATAATTAAGTTATGGGTTTTATAAGGTTAGAATATGAAAGAAAAACAGTTTATTATACAGGAACAATTTTAATATTCAAGGTTGATAAGGGGAAACAGAGGTTATTAGCAGAAAGGTACTTTTTCGAAGTTGGTAAACAAGGGTTAGGCGTGTAGTTTACATATGTAATGGTGGTAGTGATGGAATTTAAGGTTTCCAAGAGGATTTTCCGGGATTTTTAAGGTTATAGAAGATGATGTCATATTACATGAGCAAGGAAAAGGGAGTAGCAGCTGTGAAAAGTGAAGAAAATAGGTGAAAATCGTCGAAAATGGAGGTTTTCAGCTAATTACATATGTCAAATGACGTCAGAATAAGTTGGTAGATGGCTCATTCAACGCAGAAGAGTGGATTACATAATGTACAACCTTTGAATCATTAGTAACGGAGGTGTATGTAAAAAATTATAAGGGAAATAAGAAATTGGTGTGAATCTCGAATTTACAGTCACAAGACACATGTAACACCAAAAACCTTAACTTCACAACTCAATATCTTACTCATCACTCATCAGAAGTAGGTCTTATAGGTGTCAGAAATGATTAGTAACACGTGGGCTACAAGATGCACTTTAGTAATCAAAAATTGGAGCACATCTGAAAAAATTCGTAATCTCAAAAATTGGGTTTCAGCTAGTTTACAAGGAAAAAATCACCTGTATTCATCTTAAGAAGTGCTGTACATTACATCATTGCGTCATTGATCAATTTTGGCTGTGAAAATTACATCATACATTAGTAACAAGATCATTACATTGCGTCATTACATGGTTTTTAGGGTTATTTAGGCGGATTTGATTGGTTTTTGAGGCTGTTGACTGTTGTAAAGATTGTTACATGTGGATATAAGTACTCCTTGATGATTTTGGGATTGTAGCGCCCTTTTCTGCATCTTATACCTTTTGTTGTAGTGTTATAAATCATCATTTATTTACTATATTTGTACTAAGATCACTTAAATCCGCCCCTTCAAAAGCAAGGAGAAATTTATTTACGTGTGTTAAAGACTACAAGTCTAATTGGGAATAATACTTACAACAGTATTGCTAGTAATAAACATAGTGTGTGACTTTTTTGCGCTTAAAATCTGGGAATAATACTTAACAACAGTATTGCTTTATTTCTCTGGTGCCTTTTATCCTTTTCTCTGTTATCACAAAGTGGTCAGCAAGTGCCCTTGTGCTGGTTTCTTTGAAGAAGGCAGTCTTTAGGCAACTTCTACTATATTACACGTAGTAGATTATCCCTTCTTAGGTGTTGTAAAGCTCTTGTTGAGCTTTAAATACTACACCGTTTGATGTTTTCTTGGTTCAAATTTTTTGTGCATATTGAAACAGAAATATATTTCTTTGTACAAAGTGACAACTCGCGTGGCAGCCATTCTTTGACTTACTGAGGCATGAAAAAAATGATATGTACACATTGGATGAATATGATCATATGTAGTACATGTGATTAAACACTCGCAGGACAAGAGAAAGAAAGAAAGAATCAACACAAAGTTCGCAATGGCGACTAAATAGCATCTACTCTCATTTGAAGATATTCCCATTTTGCTTGGTCATCAAAAACATTGACAAATTCCGAAGCTAGTCCTCCAGTACGTATCAATCGACCAGCCGCCGCTTTCTCACCGGGTTTCTTGAGGAAGGGTCCGTCGTAATGGTAGATTTGGTAGAGAGCCTGCCGAAGTACGCGAAATTCCTCACGGCGCTTATCTTGAACTGTCTTGATGATACGGCGAAGGGCCTCTCGAGACTTGCGAGTGCGATTGTATTCTTCCTGTCTCTCAATTTCCCTCTGCGCTCGAGGACTTATGTTGACTTCTCGAGCTGGACTGGGGGATCTTTCGCCTATACCTAGTATGGTTGTATGTTAGATAGTTAGATGTAGGTTTAAATGATATTTATGCTTGCTCACCGTGGTTTTCAGGCGTGCCATTGGTTCGGAGTCGTGGATCCACATGATTCACGGCTTCGGGCGTTGGCAAAGCAGGTGGTAGGCCCAGGATGTCGAAAAAAGACTGACGGAGGCGGAAACCATGAGGCGATAAACCAGAACCAAAGGTCGTGCCGAGCCACATGACTGCTTGATTCTGCATTAGTAAGACTCAAGTGACTGGCAAATCAACGCATATCACATACCATCAGGTGAACTACGGTCCGACCCAGAGCCGTCTAAGCCAGTGCTAATATTGGAGGAACCTGAGGAAGTCATGATAGCTCTGTGTAGGTGAGAGTACGAGGTTATGTGAACAACAATATACATAGATTGCAATATACGCAACAAACAACTATGAACAATTGTATTGAAATATGTACTAGGTAACTATAATGAGGAGATAAACGAATGACTATGAATTTAAACACGAGCTATAAAGGAAAACAAGAGATAAACGCAGCACACACAAAAAATGAACACGCTTGCAAAGATCTTCGCAGCAAGATCTTTCATAACAACAACGACCAAAGAAGGATATGGAAATAAAGAAACAAGAGTACACATAACTACTGTGACGGATCTAAATCAAACACCGCGTTGAGCTTCGTTCTTGCTATTGATCATCTCTTTTGCAGCCTCTAGACCTGCTCGGGTTCTTTCATCAACCTTAGAGGTATCTGACATGAGTACAGCCAGCTCAAGCATCTTCTCGAGAGCTGTAGTTTGCCTCTCGCCTTGTTCAGCAATTCTTTCAGTGATACGAATGCCCGCGGTTTGATTAGCAATAAATTGAGGCTCCACGTCATCTGCCTTAGAGTTTCGGTTTCGCTTAGCCTTTTTGTTACCTTCGGGGCGATCCATTGAAGGTAATCTACTAACGTCTGTAGCTGAAGTTGAAGAAGATGAACCCGCAGTCGTATTGCCCAAGGCTGCCATCACGTGAGGTACGGCAAAGTCGTCATCCACTCCCCCTGTTCCACAATGGTCGAGAACGGTCGAATTAGTCTTCCACTTAGGTGAGTTCTTGACTATGTTATAACATGCCATGTCCTTGAACTCGGTTCCGACATCCGAATGGTACATCACTAAAGCATCCTCCACCTGATCCAAAGCGCTTTTCCCGCTTTCCCGTAACATCTTGACTTGTTGAAAGCAGCCAGCGTACTTCGCCATAGCTGCATTGAGACTGGCCCAACGGGAAGTGAGGGATTTGAGGGTGCGCGCGTTCGCAGGAGGCATTCGGCTGTTGAAATCTTCGGTAATTTTGACCCAAAACGTAGTCCCCTTCTGATCCGTCCCGACAACTGCATCTTCAGAGACGTTGATCCAAGATTTACATAGCTGTTCAAGCGAGGCCTTGTTGAAGCTAGGGCCCCGCCCTGCAGATTGGCTTTTGGAACTTTGAGTCGAAGAAATGACAGAAGAAGACTCTCGATCATTATAAGATCGTTTGGACAGGACAGAGCTGAAGTTAGAAGATTGAGAATTGGAATAGGTTGACACCGGATGACTCGAACTCGGAGTTGAAGAAACCACAGAGGACTCTCGATCGTGAAAAGAGCGATTGGAGAGGACAGAGCTTAAGTTAGAAGATTGAGAATTCGAAAAGGTTGACACCGGATTACTGGAATTAATCGACGGGTCACGGTTGAAATGTTGATTGCTGAATTGAAGACCCAACGAATCTCTTCGTAAAGGAGATAAAGAGTCCCCACTGTCATAGTTTTTGACATGGCGATGAGGAGAAGCAGATTGGTCGACACGAAATAAGGTGCTAGAGCCACCACGGTTGTTGTAATTATTACTTTGCTGAGTAAGGGGACCAACAGATGCATCACGAGATTCTGAACCAAAGTGAAGGGCTAATAAACTGCCAGGGAGATCACCTTCCGAGACTACCATTTTGGACAAGAATCAGTTCCTAAGGTCCTCTGTTGACCTTGACAAGGTACAAAGAGACTCACCATTCCCGGCTGAACCGCGCCTGCCTTCATTAACGTTGTGACCGGCGTGATATGCAGGCCATCGGCCACCATGAGCATCCTTATGAGGGCTGCGGTAATCACCTGTGGAAGATGGATTATTTAATATATGTTATATCTTCATACTCGAAACGAAAGAAACTCACCATTCCTAAAGTTGTGGTACGGATGACCGGCGTTTTGATTATCAATTGGAGGGCTACGAGTTGAATCTAGAAAGGCGATTGTAGTAGATTTAGAATATAATTATAGCATTATGTACGTCAGAGTATCAATCACTAACCATATCTAGAAGGACTCGACTGGGTTATGGGATGCTGCATGACCACTAGGACTTAAATGAGAAGGCAAAAGAAATAAAGACGTTTGTAGCAGAAGGGAGTAGCAGATAAGATCAGAACTACAAAAGAAATGATGAAGGGCTTGTAGCGCTGTAGCGCCTAATAAGACAAAGGAAGAAAGGAATACTAGATAACAACTACAATATGGACAAGGTTAACAAAGTTGTATTTGGGTTAAGGATGGTGCGTCAAAGTAAGAAGATTGGGATCTAGGAATAGAATACATTCAGATCAGAAGGCGGCCAGAGGGTTTGTTAAGTAGCCAAACACCTTGCTGAAGAAAGTTATATGTGTTAACTTTGTCTTAATGAGTCGCCATGGTCCTATCAAGATTGCATTGCTCATAGTAATTAATTGTTAGACTCAAAAATATATTTATTTCCTACAATCAACCACCAATTGATCGAGTATTTGATTGATCAGTGGTGGCCTTTGCCCTTCACATGGTGATTGAAGGATGAAGCGTGATTATCAGAGCTTGAATGTGGGGATAAGTTTACCACATGCGTCCTATACGCGGCAACTCTGTCATTTATCTGTCATTCTGCAAACGTCAAATTTTTCCTAACGATTTGGCGAAATTGACACGAGAGAACCGCGAAGCTGAAAACAAGGGATCACACACATGGCAAGTTGTGACAAATCATGTGCGCGCTGGAGGTTGGTTTTTGTGGCAAAACCGCTAAACGTAAATTACAGCTTACGTTTATGTCTAAATGGCTACGTTAAACTTACGTTTACAGAAGCGCGTTGGAGATGCTCTAACTTAACTAAGTCCCTCGATGCTGAGACAGCTGTCAATCAACAAGTTGAATCAGCATGTCTCAGCATGAGGGACTTACATCTAATGTCCGGTTTTTGGCCTGAGAGGTAAGGATTTCCTTACAGAGGAAATCTTTCTTTGTCCTTTTCCGTGAGCTCACCGGGGATCTTTTTACCGCGCTTCATGGGGTTATGCGCCGACCTCCTCTTCAAAATGTACAAGTGAAATCATTGAGATTCCTCGGTTGCTTGCTGAGCTACATAAGTTACTATTTTGTGATTTTCACCTGTAGCTCACATGTAGCTCTGCTAAGTTGAGGACTTATTTCGATGAAACACCAAGCTACAAGTGAGCTACAAGTGAGCTACATACAAAAATGACAAAATCAAAAGATATGTAGCTCGGTGAACAACCGAGGAATTTCAATCAATCAAGTTGTACATTATGCAGCGAGAGCCAGCGCATATGCCCATGAAGCGCGGTAAAATGTTCCTCAGTGAGCTCACGGAAATGAGAAAAACAAGATTTCCTCTGCAAAGGATTTCTTACCCCTCAGGCCAAAAAGCTGAGTTTAGATGTAAGTCCCTCATGCTGAGACATGCTGATTCAACTCGTTGATTGACAGCTGTCTCAGCATCGAGGGACTTAGTTAAGTTAGTCAAAAAACGACCATCCAACGGTGGCCAGCTTTCTCACATCTGGCCATGTGTGTGAATTTTGTTTTGAGGAATACCGGTGTAGTACTTATAGCACAACAAGGGCTATACAGTGCTTTGAAAGAGGATAATCTGAAGATATAATAGATCTAAAGAAGGTGTCTGAGACTGCTCTTTCTGAGAATCTTTAACAAACTGGACTTTGTTGTTAAAGTCTCCTGATAACAGAGAAATATAACCAGGTCTTTGATAATAAGAGAAAAGTATCTTGATAAAAAGCACCAGAGAAATAAGCTCAACACATTTAAAGTGTTATTCCAGTCGAGTCAAAATGTTGAAAAATAAGCTCAATATCTTTTTGATATTATTCCAGAATGACAGTGTCATATAAAGCACATAAAACAAATTTCTCTTCTGATGAAGGGCTGATTTGAGTGACCTAGTACTGCTCTAATAAGTTTATAATGATAAAAATGATTAATGCTATGTAAGAGATGAAGAAGAAAGGAAACATAATTTCGCACAAAAGACACAAGTTTATGAACACATCAATACAAATTGTTAAAGTGGTAAACAGCTCTTAAAAAATCCTCTTTACCATCTAAAAAACCAAAAGATGACTAAAATGCTGGTAAACAGCTTTGATCCAATGATTCAACCACTCTCTACATTCCTAAATTTCGCCATCAGTACCTCATCAACCCATTATGATCATTATTATGATGTAATGTGATCTTCTATTCATCATCTGATAAGATTTATTACTAATTTGACCAGTAAAACATGACTAATCTCTATTCTTATGATCAAATGCTGTGTATATGCTGTGTATATGCTGTGTTCTGAATGTTCTAGAATGAATATTGATTTGATCTTATGATGATTCAGCATTTCAATGATGTAATTGCTTGTTATTAATGATTTGTGATCTTGTTGATGTGTAATCAAATCCTTTGATTCCTTATAACTTTTGTCATACACCTCTGTTACTAATGATTTAAAGATTGTACATTATGAATTTGATGATTCTGCGTCGAATGAGCTATTACTTATCATGTTCTGACGTCATTTGACACATGTAATCAGCTGAAAACCTTCATTTTCGACTATTTTCACCTATTTTCTTCACTTTTCACACCTTTTACTAAGCCTTTCTTGCCTTCTGTAACATTACACAGTAATCTCCAACCGTGAAAATCCCTAAAAACACCCTTGGCAACTTTATTCATTACTAATACTACTGTTACATATGTAAAACTACCTGTAAACCCTTGTTTACCAATTTCGACTTTTTCCCATTTCCTTAATAACTTCTATTTTCTCTTATCAACCACCAAGATTAAAGTTGTTGCTGACTAAAACAATGCTCCTCTTTCGTATTCCAACCCTACTAAACCTATAAACCTAATATTACTACCCTAAAAACCATTTCCAACCTGTATACCTCTATTTTCGAGTTTTTCTTATGTTTTTTTCTTTCTTTCTTTTTGTAATCTGTTTGTTAATAGTTTATACTTATCTTGATAAGTTTGTTTGAATGATAAAATGATGTAAATATTAAACTATATGTAATATAATTGATGTAATTCAAAATTCGATTTTTTTTTATTTTTTGATTGGTCTCATATTTTGATTACCACACCGGGTATCACATGTCAGCACCTTCATATATGAAGGGCTCTCGCAAAAGATGCAGGAAGCAGTATTGGCGACGTTTAGGACATAATAATACCACATGCGTCCAAAGATAGATATGATAATCGAAAGAAATTACATATCAAGTATATAGTCAATGAGATATCAGTCAACTTTTAAAAGGAATATTGTGCGCTTTTGGCGTTTTTGGCAGGAGCACGACCTTGGAAGTCCCTGCATCATGTGCGCGGTGGAGGGAAATCATTTTAAAGAAAAAATACAGCTTACTGTATGTTTTCAGACGAGCCTGTACGCCTTTTGGCGATTCAGGACCGTTGGAGATGCTCTGAACTCAACAAAGTTTCATACCGCGTCTTGCACGCCGAACAAGCTGCTTGCGGGTGACTTGGTTCAGTCACGTACATACAAGTTTCATACAACATAAACTTATGAAATACCTAAACTCATCAGAGTCCCACGCTCGAGTACTCGCGAGACGTCGAGTGTAAGAGCATCAGCACCGGGACCTTGTAAAATGGTAAATACATGCCATTTTACAAACCCGTGAGACTAAACACAAGGCACCGGACCTTGTAAATGACCTGTATGATTTACGCGTCGTGTAAAATCATCCCTCTGCTGTCCATTAATGGACTGCAGCGTATATTCCAAAAGTCGACCAAACGGGACCAAACGTCGAAAATTTATACCAATCTTCTCTATCCGACACCTTACAACCTCACACGAGTCTTCTTGATTAGACCCAAAGCCCCAACCCGGTTATTGGTATGATCTGTACATTCATACATTTACACAGCAACGATTTCTCCAAATTTTTACATTTTGGAGAGAAAGTTGCAATACACCTGCTCTCCTGTCACAAATGTCAGATACAGGGACCTCTTTTACAAGGTCCCGGTGCTGATGCTCTAAGAGCATCTCCAACGCGCCTGAATCTGAATGACTAAACCTTATGTTTATGTCAAAAACGTGACGTGTACAGGAGTTATTCAGAAAATCGTCCTCCAGCGCCGAGGGCGATTTCTCACACCTGGCCCATGGTGCGACTTTGTTTTTTGAGTATTGGAATTTGGCACAATCCCAGGCCCAGGTGAGCAAATTTGCTGACCTGGCTGAATCGCTGAAAAACCAGTATCCCATCGGTATAAAATCAATTACATACTACATACTGAATATAAACTGTATGTAACATGTAATACAATGTACCAAAACCTTTATTACATATACATGAACCTGTAAAACAACATGTAATATGTAATAAATCACCATTTACACCTCATAACTCAGTGTCAAGAGTTAAATGCTTATATTACATATCACACATAACATGTATATGTAACTAAGCATCACTAGTAACAATCATTACTATATGTTAATGACTAACCCTGAACCAATGTAGTGATAATAACAAATATCACTACAGTTAGGTTTAGAGAGGAGAGTATATAAACCCCTCCTCTCTCAGCCTTCAGAAAAAAACCCCCAAGCAATTATTACACTACACTTTTAAAGAACAATATTAAAGTTCTACAGAAGTAAAAATCAAGAGTCTTACAAGATAAGACTAGTGATAAACTTCTTACAAACTTTAATCAGGAAACTGATTAAAAGTAAGTAATACATTTCTTCACATCCCTCTGGATCCTCTACTTCACCCAAGTAGAAATCAAACTAGGTTGGTGACCTCTAACAGCCCCAGGTTAGTGACCTTAACAAGAACTTTCAGGTTGGTGACCATAAGAATAACCCAAGGTTAGTGACCATCAGAACAACTAGTTTGGTGATCTTTATCTCACCCTTTAAATCAGTTAACAAAAGATTAAAGGAGGGTCTTGGATCCAACCCTCATCCCTTATTAATAATACTAATT